TTAAAATTGTTTTTTCATAGGCAAACTTGTCCCAAAATTTTTAATGGTCATTTATTTTCCGAACGGAATTTCAATAAATAATACATTTGAAAGGAAAATTTTTAATAAATAATATTATTATACCTTAAAAAGAAAAAAAAAGAAAGAAAGGGAGCAGGTAATACAAACATTCTGAAATATTCAAAATATAATAAATATTTTCGATATTTATTAATTGTGCAATAGTTCTTTGCTTTATCTTAAGAGAATTCATTATTGAATAGGCAAATTTTAAGTGCTAAGAACTGTTTTCATTTTTTGATATAACTATTTAAATGTTGTTGAAAAGTTCTTGGCAAACTTTCATTGAAATCTTAATTAAGAAATAAAATTAGATTGATAATTAATGTTTTGTTTTTTACATATATACATATATATATATATATATTCTCAATTTTTAGAACCATCTCATAATGACAACAAATTGAAGCCAATCGTAAAAATGAAAAAGGAATCCGCAAATGACGCACGTCATTTTCACTGTAATGATTGGCGTGAAATGCTGGCTGTGGTTAATGCATCTAACAAGAAATCTATTAGCAATTATACAACGCAAACAGATAAGGTAGAAATTATTGATTATCGCTTTGCTAGTTTACATGAAAAAATAAGAATTGAACAATGATAAGCTATAATGAAATGTGATATTTGAAGGTATGTTACGGAAAAAGACGTAAAATTGTAATAATATTGAGAAATAATCTGGACGACCATTTGAGAAATGTTTATATTTGAATTTCTTAACATTTACCGATTATTTTATTAATTGCATTTACGGCTTTAAAGTAAGTTTCGTGGAATTATCGTGAAAACACGAAATATTTTTATAATATAGAAAGAGTTAAAAAAAATCAAAGTATTTCTATATTGTAGAAATATTTCGAAATAGCTAAATAGATCAATAATAAAGGAAATTTTTACCCAAAAATTGTTTATAACTAAATATTTCACTATAAATAGGGATATGAAAAACATCTAATTTTGCCTCGATTAATAAAATATTTATTTGTGAGTAACTTTTATATAAGTATTTTCTTTATTATTGGTCTATTTAGTTATTTGAAAATATTTCTACAATTTAAGAAATGCTTTGGTTTTCTTATAATTTGTATATTACAAAAATATTTCGTGTTTACAGGACAGGGATTAATTAAAATAATTTTATGGAATAAATACTTTAACAAAGAAATTATTGATGCATGAGAAGTAGCAAGATTTCAAGCATGTTAATATGTAAAGCATGTTGTTTCTTCATATAAATTTTAGTAAAATGAGTATATGTGGAAGAAAGGAAGTGCGAAACGGTGGTTCAGATATGTGATATCGTACTGGAACTTTAACATAAGATTGATTTTTGAAGCTGATCAATTAGATTAATCTTCTTCAGGAAAAAATTTTAGGATTCATCACCGAAATGTTTTACGTCAGCACCACTAGATGTATGCGCAACGCCAACTTCATTAACAAGTACAATACATATGAGAACAAGGGCTACTAGTTCAACTGTGAGCTTTATTGTCATTCTTTGTGGTTGGACTTTTTGGTTGAAATTTAAAATTATTGATATACTGATTATGTCAAGAATTTTGGTTGAGACGGTACAACAAAAAATTTTAATTACTTGGAAAGTAGTTTCCTTTTTTACTTTCTTATTATTTTTATAGTAAAAAATTTCAATCAATTAGAAAAGATTTTTTTTTCGCTTGTTATTATCCCTTTTTTTTCATTTGCAGTCACTGTTGCAAAATAATTGGGTAGAACAAACGTTCAAAAAACGTGAATGCATCCAGTTTATACCGAGTAATCGATATCCTGACAAGTAAGTTGCTTTGTTTGGTAGTATTTTAGGAAGCCCGAGTAACTTTTTTAATATTATAGATCATGTAATATGAAACGTATACGTGATTTCCTGTATGACGTGTTTATGCAGATGTGGTTGTGGAAAGTTGAAACGAAATCACATTTCAAGTCGACAGTGCTCAACATGGACCATTCCTTCAACTGAAAGGATTCAAAATGTGGCACGAAGCGACGAAGAAGTAGAGCAGGAGATGACTGGTTGCGAAAGTGAGGTTGGATTATCAGTAGTAAGTATACGAAATATTTACTAGTGTCTATTGCACCATCGATTTAGTCCATGTTATCTATTTTGAAACAGATTTTGTCAAATAATATTTTTAGAATTAAAATGATCTTTATCTTCCTATTTTATTTTCTATTTTCTTTTTCATTTTCTCGAAAAATTCTCTTTTTTTCTTTCCTAGAAGCAACCTGCTAAGGGTAGTGAGAGGTGGACGATAAGGAAGCATACAGCTTTATTCCCAACCGATGCTTATGGAACAATTGAATTTCAAGGTTAGTAGGTGATTGATTGTTTATGGATGCATTGTTATTGTGGTGAAATATATTTTTTGGGACCTCTGCTGGAGTCCGACAGTCGAGATAGAAATCGGGTCTCATCCACCCTTTCAATTAGCAGTTCGTTATGTTGACAGTTTTTATTAATAAAATTAGGATTCCCTCCATAACAATTTATAAAGAGCTAATAAGTTGATAGAATTACTCTATGAATAACATTGTGTAGTTTTTTGCGATAAGCAAAAATGATGTCATTGCAGTCATTTCAGTATTTGACTTCAAGCGACGGGATATACTGAATTATGAGAATGATCTTCATCAAATCTTTTTCATTTTTAAGCCATGTGAATTTTACCCCAGTATTACAGGTGCACCTCACCCGTATAAGGCGCAATATTTGAGGTTGACAGTCGAATCAAATCCGGCTGATATTATGGTTTTATTCGAATCTGTCTGGAACGTTCCAGCTCCGAAATTAATTATTACAGTTCATGGAGGCATGACCGATTTTGAGTGGGATTTATAGCAGTTTAAATTGTTTTTGTTTTGAAATTGGTATTTAGTATTATGTATTTTTTTCATTAATGAGATAACTTTTCGTACTTATAGCAACGAGAACATATAGTAATATTAACTGTAGAGGTGAAATGAGGTATGTAACGATAGGCTGAACAGTGTTTTCGAAATATGTGAAAATTCGGATTAGTTTTCGGTTCCAGTTTTCAGCTTACAACCAAAATTAGCACGAGTATTCCGTAAAGGTTTGTTAAAAGCAGCGAAAACCACCGGTGCATGGATTATTACTGCAGGTGAATGATTTTTGAATATTCCACTTTTATGAAATGTTTGAAACGTTGATATCTGAAATTCACTTACCTTGGTTTGAAATCTGTTATAAATGATTTTTTAGTCTCTTTAGAATTGTGTAGAGTTTTAGATCTTGGAAACTATTGGTTTCAGGTAATGGATTTTAATGAATTAATTCAGTTTTTCAATAATGAAAGTAGTTTAGGCATCAACGCTGGTGTAGTTCGTCAAGTTGCAGCAGCAGTGGATGGTTCGGGTAGTGTTTCACGGGATCGTTCCAAAATAGTCACCATTGGTATTGCTCCATGGGGTTTATTAAAGAAGAGAGACAACCTTCTGGGACAAGTAGGTTTTGGGTTTAAATTTGGGCCTAATTCTTTGAATTCTTATTTTCAAATTCTTATCTGTTGGATTAACAGGTATGCATTTCATGTTATGTATATCTCAGATTATTCAGAAATGATTCCATTTCAGGATGCAATTGTTTCATATCACCCGCATTCCTTCTCTCCTAAAGGGAGATTTGCTGTACTGAACAACAGACATTCTTATTTTCTACTTGTTGATAATGGTACTGTAGGCCGGTATGTTTCCAACAAATTTATTCAGTTCATTCTTAACATACAATTCCATTCCAAGACGAGACAAAGATGTAGGCAGCAACTTTCTGCATGATCTTCAGATGATACCAAAGTTAACTGAGTTATCGATTGTCCTAATAATATCAGTAATGATTAAGATAACTCACAGAATGTTTTTGTGTTATTTAGTTATGGGGCTGATGTGATACTGAGGAAAAGACTAGAATCATATATTTCTGAAAAACGAACACTTGGTAACGGAACACGGAGCGTTCCGGTTGTTTGCGTTGTCCTGGAAGGTGGAACTTGTACAATTAAAGCAGTTTACGATTGTGTCTGCATGTAAGCTCATTCCATTTAATTAGTCTGTCCAATTTCTATTAATTCCATATCAAGATAGTTTTTATTTCCAGCATATTGTTAATTAAACGGAAAGATCGTTCCAGTGTTAATTCATTTAAATTGTGCAAAATGTCAATTCAATTTTGTATAGTTTTAAGCTTTATCAATTAGATTGCTTATATCATGAGATTTTTTCAATGCTTAATTTCCATCTCTTTACATCTTACAGTTACTGTTCTATCAGAAAGCTGCGATCCTGAATATTCAAGCAGTTCAAATGCTCTTACAGGTGATAAAATTATGAGATAAAAAGTTTAAATGATCTCATATTTATAGGTCACCACGAGTTCCTGTTGTTGTCTGTGATGGGAGTGGTCGAGCAGCTGATTTATTAGCATTTGCACATCAATACGTACAAGAAGATGGGTAAGCTTTCAGTCTTTTCAAATTTCTAAATTGAGGCACTAACTTTATATAATCATTTGTAGATTTCATGTCCGTTAATATCAACATTTTGAACATTCATACTATCTGTTGCATGATGTGGACATCCTGAAAAACTTCCTTGATATTAGGTGCAAAACCATCTTGTATGATTCATTTACCAATTTGTGACTTGGATAATTCGAATGCACCTAACGCTAGCCAAGCTAACAACGCGAAGTTTCATTTGGATTTTGTTGAAGTTTCTTAGAATATGTTCCTTTCCTATCAAGCTGTTACCACTCTTTGAATTTGTATACGTTCGGTTTCATTTTTCTTTCTAATATTTTCATTTCAGGCAATTACCCGAAGGTGTCAAGCCTCAGTTGTTCAGTTTAGTCCAATATGTATTTGGTTATGATGTTATTGCAGCTGAAAAGCTACTAGAACAGTTGATGTTATGTGTTCGTCAAAGACATTTGGTATTTTTTATTTGTCTATAAAATGATTTCAAAATTTAAATTTTGATCATGAACGAAAAAATTTTTTCCGACTGGCTTAAGGGATGTGGCCAAGTAGTGTCTTTGATATTTCTAGTACAAATAAAAAAGGTTTTCAGGTAACTCTAGTATCTAACTCTCATTTACTTCTATTTCCTAAGCATGTATAGCTTAAAGAAATTCAAAGAAGTGGAACTAACATAGAATTTTTTGTTGCTGATGGAAGAGGTAAATATTAGAGTGAATACTGCGAAGTCTTTTTTTTTCTTTTTTTGTACAAATTTTAAACCAGTATTTTAGAAAATTTTATATTACAGATAACGGTTTTTCGTTTGGGTGAGGACCAAAAACAAGATGTCGATCATGCAATATTGACGGCTTTACTGAAGGAGCAGAATTTGTCTGCACCAGATCAACTTGCTTTAGCATTGGCTTGGAACCGTGTTGATATAGCACGATCAGATATATTTGTACTGGGACAAGTTAGTACTTGATTTGTTGAATATTTCCAGTGAGCAGTAGAATTTAAATTGACATGAGCTTCATATTTTCTTAAATCAGCAATTTTTTTCCATGTAATTTGTGTGGTGAAAAATGAAAAATAATATGTTATGAAGTGTTGAATGGCTTATTTCCCTTTTCATTATGATTCATAAAATGTTCTGTGATACTGAAAAATTTCATTAGTGATCTAATGGAGATTATGTTAGTGACGATATAATATTTACAGTAATTCCAAACAGTTAAGTCGTTATAATGAAAGCCGAAATGAGGAATATTGAGATAATTTGTAGGATTGGCCAAAGGCAGCCCTTCATAATGCGATGATGGAAGCTTTAATAAATGATCGGGTTGATTTTGTTCGTTTATTGCTTGAAAATGGCGTCAGTATGGGTAACTTTTTGACTATTGGACGGTTGGAAGAGTTGTACAATACGGTAAGTGGAAATTTTTAATGCAAAAACAGCTGGTATTTTTTGTTGAATTATATTTTACCCAACATGAATTGATTTGTTCAAATCAGTTATAGGTAAGTTCAAAAACCAATTTTCTCTTTATCTTTTTACTTCATTCACCTAATTTCATGAAACTCAACGTAGATTATTAAACTTAGGACGGAACTAATATATTTGTTTTTCATGAAATTCTATATGCAGTGGACCAAATTATTATCATTACTAAATGCTCTTCAGTAGCACTGAATTTTTAGGACATAATTTTAGGATAAAGGACCGCCTAATACGCTGTTCTACGTGGTGCGAGATGTTGTTAAAATTCGTGACGGATATCGTTATCGGCTACCTCACATTGGTCTTGCAATTGAAAAACTTATGGGCTACGCTTACAAATCATCCTATACAACTGAGCCTTTCCGTTCCAAATATGTTATTTATAGAAATAAATTGAAGGTTTGTAGTTGTTATTTTTCGGAATGCAAAGTTAATAATGACAGTCCGAAATCCAGATTCTCGATGTTGAACTTTCGGTAATATAACTGTTGGTGTTCCTGGACGTTTTTTATTATCAATTTTCTCATTTGTTTAATTTTCAAGATAGCCAATTAAAAGTCATCTTTTATTGTCACTAAATTAGCGCTTTATAAGGTTTATATAAGCAACCATCTTTCTCTTTTTTTTTTTCAGAAACTTCGGAAACAGAACCAGGATAGTGTTAGGGATTCTTTAGCATCTGACGGTTATATTACATCATTACCAAATCCTGATAATCTTGCCACGGATGCTGTTTTGGCTGCATGTTCTGGAAATCGTGCATTAAGCCATCATATATTATGGCGCTCAAGACGGGATGTATGTCTATAGAATATATAATGCCGAATTTTTAAAGGAATTTTTCTTTTGTTAAATGTCATCCTCTAATTGCTTCTGCTTCGTTGTGTTGTTATATGTTTCGGTAGGAACATAAAGGGCATGGTGATGAAATGACTAAATCATTTGTGTGTAATCACGAATTTAAATTTCCAGAATCCTGCAAGTAATTTTGGAATAATAGCACCACCGAAACCAGCTACAACACAGGAAACGGCTATTGATATTGAAAATGGTTAGAATAAGTTATACTGTAGTAGAAATTTCGTTGTGTCTGCTTTCCTTACCACTTGTAATGTTTGATAATTTCAGTTGATGGATCGTAACAAAATTATTTGTTACTTTACATTTTCAGAATCCTTATGCTCAGATATGGAAAGGGGTTTGGATGATTTCAAATATCCGTTCAACGAACTTCTTGTTTGGGCTGTTTTAACTAAACGACAAGAGATGGCATTATGTATGTGGCAACATGGTGAAGAAGCTATGGCAAAGGTTGTTTCATTTATTGCGAGTTGAGTGTAATAAAAGTAAACTCAAGGATTTGATTTCATTCGGAAAGGATTTTCATTTAATTCCCAACCATTAATTTTTCCTTAAGAACTGTTTTGAGAATTCTTTTCATCTTAGTTTCAGTTTACTGTTTCTCTCGAGTCAGACAATGGTAGTAATTATGTAAAATATGAGTAAAGTGATAAATGTACCGGTAGTGAATTTTCTGTGATATTTTACAGGCTTTGGTAGCTTGCCGACTGTATAAGAGTTTAGCAAAAGAAGCTGCAGAAGATTATTTAGAAGTTGAAATTTGTGAAGAATTAAAGAATCATGCGGAGTGAGTTTTATCTCGATCATTTTCTTATTAAATTTGCTATTTTATATTT